ATTATAATCATGAATGTTCTACTTCACTATAAAAAGAACATACGTGTCATTTTCTCTCCAGTTTATGGTACAGGTAGCTCCAGTTGGATCTGGGGCATAGTTTGCCCATCCTACCACAGGCATGGAGGCCCAAAAGACTGCATTGGTCCAGGCAGCAAAAATCAGGGCAATATAGTTGTGAGTAGTTAGTCTGTTACCTATTGGCAAACCAAAATATCATCACTATTTATTCTTTCTTATCATTTGTACTTTACTACTCGAAAGCAAAGAATACAAAAGTTACAATGAAAATTTTATAAATACACAAATCAAACTATTTAGACATTAATGTTCACATCTATACAACATCTAAGCAACTAACTTCCCTCATTGAAAATTACATACTTATACTTCGTTTGTTTATAGTATGATATGATATATGATATGATATATGATATGACACACATTTACAAACATTGATTAAAAAATTGAGAAAGTTGCTGAGAACAGTTCCCTAACTATATTCTGAAAGAATCTTTTTTTAACCTGGTTCCCTCCAGATAGTTTATATTTAAAAAAAATACCCATTTGTTAATGTTTTTTCATTATGCTATATTTAATAAATAATTGCTTGATAGTCTTCCAACAAAACATTGACTAGACTAGGGTGTAAGTTTAGCAAATTGCTTCATCATATGCAAATTGCTTCATCATATAAACTAAGAACAAAAAGGCGGTATCAGAACAAAACAATCATATGATTTTTGTCCCTATCAACATCTTGAGCTTTACAGTCTGATTCCAGTTTATTGTAAACTACAGATGCCTACTTTTTTTTATGCATTTGACCTATTCGTAATAGGTACTCTCACAATATGGTTACAACAGTTACAATTAGATTAGTATTTACAACATGTGTATTTATGAAAAGGGAAATGGATAAATATATTTATATTATAAGAGCCTTGGTGGTGCAATGGTTAGAATGCAGTATTGCAGGCTAACTCATGGCTCACTCTAGGAGTTCAATTCTGAGCGACTCAAGGTTGACTCAGTCTTCCATCCTTCTGAGGTCGGTAAAATGAGGACCCAGATTGTTGGGGGCAATTTGCTGACTCTGTAAACCACTTAGAGAGGGCTATAAAGCACTGTGAAGCTGCATACAAGTCTAAGTGCTATTTCTATATTCCCAGCTAATTTCTGCCTGCACAGAACATATCTTCAACCTTTATTTGTCGCTCAAACGGTGACCATGCTTCCAAACATAGCACTTGGCTGCCTTCATACATTGTTCTAATCTTTTAAAATGCTCGAAGATTACAGTGCTTGGCTTCTTAATGATGTGAAGCATGTTATCAGAGCTTCCCATTGATAAAAGAATTCAAGTCAGATGCTTCAGGGATGTTAGCAATTCGGTATTAAGGTATTTTCAGGGACTCTGATATTTACAGAACCAGATTCCTTGGACTGTTCTTACTCTATAATAGTAGCCAATGCTCAATTCTATAATTGTTTTCCTTCTGACACTTCCAATTTGTTATACCCTCTGACTTCTTGCTCTATCTTCAGTCGTTCACACAATTAAGAGTGTGGGCAGTTAAGAAATAGGAAATTAAAATAAAAAAGAACCTTATTATCTCTGAATTCAAAACAGAGGTAGGTTTTGTTATATAATCCTCCAAAGTTCAAGAGCAAAATTAACCAAGTATATTTTCAAAAGGGCAATTTTTTACAGGTTTTGTTTCCACAACTATTTCTGTTATCTACAAGCAACAGATAATACAAGTAGACCAAAAACATTCTGGAAAAAGTAATGCCAAACCATTTCAACATTATTGTCATAAAAATGGATATGAAATTCAGCAAGAGTCAAACTCAACTTGTAGGAGATTTATACTTTACTACAAAGTATAAATTCAAATAATATAGAGTACCAAAATGTGGGATTTCCCGCAAAACATATCACCAAAATCTATACTGAAACACGGTATACCTTTATTGCAGAATACCAAACATCGTACCTATTTGTGGCTTGCAGATTGTCAAGTAACGATCTATGGCGACAACAGTAAGCAAACCAATGCTTGCCATTCCAAAGAAGATATTCAAAGCAGCATAAATCTAGAATTTAAGAAATAATACATGATTTAAATGTTTAAAAATAATATTGGTTGCTTTCAAAAGTCTAAAATTAGGCTCTTCTTTTACAATTATCAAGAAACATTTTTTCGTCTACACAGATATCTACAGGAAGATCCATTTGCTTAATTCCCCATTATAATTTTCAGCTAATTAGTAAAGCCAAGCTTAACACCGAGTTATTCTGTTTACTTATTTTATTATTTTATTAAAACTGGGGGGCTGACTGTGGAAGAGTAAAAATTGAAAATAATGAAAATAATGAAAAATGTGTCTGGGTAAGCACATTCCTAATATTAGACTATATAGCAAATAAGGCTCCACAAGTGTCCTATCCCAAGGCTTGGGAAAACAGTCAATTGTTAAAGATTTCCAGAACATCCTCAGGATAAAAGCCAAACTCATCTGTAATGAATATTATTCCAGAAGTATGTGCCAACACAGAAGGCACACTTTCTGGATCCTGATAAATAGCACTGGTTAATAATAATAATAAAGTTAGAGGTCATCTAGTCCAACCCCCTGCTCAGGCAGGAAACCTTATACCTTTTCAGACAAATGGCTGTCCAGTCTCTTTTTAAAAACTTCCAATGTTGGAGCATTCACTGCTTCTGGAGGCAGGTTGTTCCACTGGTTAATTGTTCTAACTGTCAGGAAGTTTCTCCTTAGTTCTAGGTTGCTTCTCTCTTTGGTTAGTTTCCATCTGTTGCTTCTTGTCCTGCCTTCAGGTGCTTTGGAGAATAGCTTGACCTGCTCTTCTTTGTGGCAGCCCCTGAGATATTGGAACACTGCTATCATGTCACCTCTCGTCCTTCTCTTCATTAGACTAGACATTCCCAATTCCAATAACCATTCCTTACATGTTTTAGTCCCCTGATCATCTTTGTTGCTCTTCTCTGTTCTCTTTCTAGAGTCTCAACATCTTTTTTACATCGTGGTGACCAAAACTGGATGCAGTATTCCAAGTGTGACCTTACCAAGGCATTGTAAAGTGGTATTAACACTTCACATGATCTTGATTCTATCCCTCTGTTAATGCAGCCTAGCACTGTGTTGGCTTTTTGGGCAGTTGCAGCACACTGCTGGCTCATATTTAAGGGATTCTCCACTAGGACTCCAAGATCCCTCTCACAGTTGCTACTATTGAGCAAGGTACCACCTATCTTATACCTGCGTATTTGGTTTTTCTTGCCTAAATGTAGAACCTTACCTTTTCACCACTGAATTTCATTTTATTAGATAGCGCCCAATGTTCAAGTCTGCCCAGATCCTCCTGTATCCTAAGCCTGTCTTCTGGAGTGTTGGCTATTCCTGCCAGCTTGGTGTCGTCTGCAAATTTGATGAGTTCCCCATCTATCCCCTCATCCAAATCATTGAAGTTGTTGAAGAGCACTGGGCCCAGAACAGAGCCCTGGGGCACCCCACTACACACTTCTCTCCATGTAGATGCAGTTCCATTGAGGACCACATGCTGAGTACGGCCAGTCAGCCAGCTACGAATCCATCTGATGGTGATGATGTCTAACCCACATTTTTCTATCTTATCAAGTAGTAGGTTGTGGTCTACCTTATCAAATGCCTTACTGAAGTCCAAGTAAATTATATCCACGGCAATTGGACCCAAAATACACCAACGTTGCCTGATCTTATGGGATAGACAAAAACCATGGGAGATAGGCAGTCCTTCAGATAACCTGACCCTATGCTATGAAGGACTCTATAGATGATAATCAGCACCTGGAATTGCAAATGGGAGCTCACTTGCAATCAGTGTAATTTTATACAACTGGTATCACATTGGCATACTAACACATGCCCAAAGTTACTGTTGTTGCTGGATTTAAGATCTGATGTAGTTTCCAAGTGGTCTTCATGGGCTGTACATGTAGAACACATTGCAATAGTCCAACTGTGAGTGAACATTAGAAGGACCTCACAATCTACAAGTGGGCAGAATTGGTACACCAGATGTAGCTGGACAAAGATCTTGTTAGCCAAAGCTGCCACCCTTCAAGCAGGAGTCCAAAATGACGCACACATTGTGTGCCAGTTTTGAGGTAAAGAGTACTATCCCATCTAAGGCTAACAATAGCTAAGTTCTAAGATTGGGGGAGGGGAGACAAAAGCCCACAGCTATTTGGCAGGATAGAATCTGAGTCTGTTCTCTCATCCAGATCCACGCAGCCTCCAGACAATGAGACAGGACTTCCTGTTCATTGGGTAGCATAAAAGAACATGTAGAGCTCAGTTTTCCCTTTTCCTATTGTCAACAATACTTCAGAAGAAGCCTTTCCTATAATCTAAGCCCTAATTCTTTTAACAGGAGCTACTGGGTTTGCATTCATGACCACTGGAATACAAAACATATATTCTGCCTTTGGACCATGCTGTTTCTCCATGAGGTTGTCACAGTCAGCTGCCCCTAGTAAGTTTCAAGGAAGAGCTAGAAACAAAAATCTTTTTACTGTGCTACTCAAGACAGCCATCTAGCGACAATTGTGATATATTTTATATCTTAATTTGCACACTCATTTTCAGCTACTGGAGAAGTAATTTGGGTAGTATTTTAAAAGCAAAATAGAAACAACACGTTTATAATATATGAAAAAATAAGATAACTTCCTGAAACTTGACAGATATGTTGGGGTTATAACTTCAAGAGTTCCCAGCAATATCTCTGGGACAAAGTATTGTAGAAATAGAGCTGATAATAATGCTATTTTTTTAAAAAAAATTAATAATTCTATAGTCCTAGTTTAATTTAATCAAAGTGGAATGTCGGCACACATTTGTTGGGATAAAATATATTAATGTATTCCTTCTAAAGCAGGAGACAGTTGGGTTCCAGGTTAGATAATTACTCTATCTAGTTTTGTTTTTTGATTTGATATTCCCCATTACTCAGTTCTTTTAAGAGGAGATGCCAAGACTTAACAGTCAAGTGGTGTGCAAGGGGCTTGCTGTGCTATATTAACAAACAATCCTCTCTTCCCAGAAGATGAAATACTACCTGTTTGTATATGTATCTCCCTCAAACAAACCCCAACCTCTCAAATAAAATAATGCAGGTTCTAATTAATAATATAATTTTGTTTGTAAATATTCAATGTATTTAATTTAGGTCCACCTAAATAATCCTTTTTATGAAAAGAGTTTGTCTTTTTAATTTATGGACCAAGGAATATATTTTCAACCATTTAATTTTTTCTTTGGATTTGCTTGTCTTTTGGTAATGATTTCCTTCTAGCACCAAAGCTCACAGATACTTAGTAGTAGTTCACAGAAGAGTGTTTTGTGTTTTTTTTTGCCACAAACACACTAGTGGAAAGAGATGTGTTGTTCAACTGTTCATGCTAAAAAGAACTGGTAGAAACACTTAGCAACAGTTTGTTTTGTTATCTGTTTCTGAACACTTATTTGAACAGGGCTACATACAATATGTGTAATGTGATCCTTTGTTGTAATACTCAAGTTACCTGGCAACCCAGGTAGCCAAATTTCCAGCTTCCATGCAGATCTGAAGCTGCAGACATGGGATAGCCAATACTACTCACTCCAATATCCGTAAAAGCCAGGTGAATGATAATAGTATTGCTTGGTGTTCGAAGTTCCTTAAATTTAATGAAGATGCTTAAAACAACAACATTACTGAGAAGACTTATGATTCCTGTCAAAAGATAAAAAATGGGGAGTAAACTTTAGAAATGTTAGTCTTAATAGACCTAATCTGAGTTTCATACTATCTACAAAGAGACTAAGATCATCATCATCATCATTATTGTTGTTGTCATCGTCACCATCATCTCATCATCGTCATCATCATCATCATCTCATCATCATCCTTTAAAAAAACCTAAGTAAGCATTAGTTTCATGCCAGGTTGATATAATGGTGAAGACATCAGGTTAGAAACCATGAATGACACTGTGACTTTTAGTCCCTACTTAGGCACGAAACCAGCTGGGTGACCTCCCGTCAGCCCTAGAAAGAAGGCAATGGCAAACTATTTCTGGAAAACCTTGCCAAGGAAACTGCAGGGACTAATCCAAGCAGTCATCAAGAGTCAACAACTGATTCATAGTTACCAATAATTAAAAATAGGCTAAATTCACACACAATACTAAAATCTTTGACTTGGCGATGTTTCCTGAACCCAACAATTATGATTTTTAATCGTAATCGATGTCTTATCATATGTGAACCAATCCAGTTAGAGTTTATACACATCATGCTTGAGCCTGAGTAAAGCAAGAACAGTGTTAAATAGATATTTCATCACCAGCCCCATTTAGATGTTAAAAATTAAAAAATAATGAACATAATTTATGGGCAGAAATCCATTTACGCACTTGCTGGGGAATTCTAGAAGTTGAAATCCACACATTTTAAAATTGGGAACTATTAGACGACATGATAAAATGAAATTAAAAAAAAGTTATTGTTCACGAATACAATGTTACTACTGATTAATTGCTTAATTCAAATTTTACTGGTATCAACTCAAAGAGCATAGTAGAATTCCATCTCTACCCCCATCACAAAACCAAAATATGGGAGAACACAATATGAATCAGACAGGATGTGTTTACAGCATACATTTTAGTCATCCCAATTTTCTGGGTTATACCGTGAATCATAAATTAACCATAAGAATTAGGTTTGACCAACATATTAGCTTAAAATATGATCAACTAGTCTATGAAACAGTCAGTTCTGCAAATGTGACTAATTAAAAGATGCATTTTGACAGGAATAATTGATGGGAGTTAAATACCTAAAATTGAAAGCCAACAATCTTGCTATTTAATTTGAATTTGTTTCTCTGGGGGGAAAAGCTCCCATCCTCAACATTTTATTAATCCCAAACATATGCACCATTTCTTTCTTTAAATATTAGCTTAACTTGATATATTTAATTTAGTATAGTATTAGATTGGTCTACATCAAAGCAAGTTTCAGTGAACTCAACTATGTTAACATCTAGCTAAATGGGTTTAAAATTAAAATCCAAGAGGTTGCTCTACAAAGTATCAGATATTGTCTTACTTACAGGTATTAGCCCTAAAGGCAGGGGAATTCCGGCCCCTTCTTCAGAGCTGCCAGGAACACAGATCTTCTGCATGCAAAACAGGTTTTCCCATCACTAAGGTACTATACTGTCCAGTTTTTAAGGGACTATGGAAGACTTATAAAGATTAGAGTGTGCAGAACTTTGGTTTTGAAAGCAAAAAAGGGCTTCAGAGTGTATTAAGGAGCAAAAGCAGAACTTATCTGGAATGCCTTAAAGCAATCCCAACCTGGAAAAAAAGTACTTGGTTTAAAAAGCTGCACATAGAGGCTATTTGCATATCACTGGGTATTCTAAAGCAAGGGTTCTCAACCTTGGCAACTTTAAGACTTGTGGACTTCAACTCCCAGAATTCCTCAGCCAGCTTTGCTGGCTGAGGAATTCTGGGAGTTGAAGTCCACAAGTCTTAAAGTTGCCAAGGTTGAAGACCCCTGTAATCTAAAGTACTTTTTGCCTTCAAATCCAAAGAGTAGCAATCCATTTTCAAACTTCACATTTCTTTGCTTATGTTTAATTAAAGCTGAAAAAAATGAAGTGATAATTTTTTTATTAAGGTGCAATACCCCAATATTTTCTTAACCAAATACATTCAATGTTCATACCTGCTGCGATCAAGTATGCTGCAATAATGTTGTGTTCCTTCTGTGAAAAGGCCGATGGAAGCTCACTATTACTTTCCACAGTCATAGTAGGATAATTCCAAAATGTGGCAGGGCAAAAAAAAAAAAAAAAGAAACCTGGGAAAAAACTTCAAGAGCTAAACTTCTGAAAGAAAGAAAGAAAGAAAGAAAGAAAGAAAGAAAGAAAGAAAGAAAGAAAGAAAGAAAGAAAGAAAGAAAGAAAGAAAGAAAGAAAGAAGAAACTTTTGCAAGCCTTTTAAGATGAATTTTATCTTCTAAAATTTCCTACAAATGTCCTGCTCTCTTGAAAGGCTCCCAACAGGATTCTGAGTAAAGAAAGCAAAGGGGCTTACATTCCTAGCCTTTGGAAGGGAAAAGCTTATCAGGTCAAACAAAGAACAATATAGAGCTGCTTTTATTTTCAGTAAGATTTTTGTGCCTTGTGGTAAGAGATTTACTATTTTTACAGAACCCAGAGTTTGAACTTCAATCTTTAGGGTTTTATTAACACAATACTCTCAGCATTTTTAATAGCAAGTCATGAAACAAAATAAACTCAGTTTCTGTCAAAAAATGTATTTTTCTCAGTTTGCAAGGGACAGATTGCAGATGCACACTTCATACTGGAAATCTACCTTGAAATATTTCTAACACACATATATAAACTGGCTTACATAAATTTGCATTGTGAGTCAAACATTATTATTATTGATTTTTGACTGTACTTATGCAAATCAGTGATGGCGAACCTATGACAAACATTTCAAAGGTGATATGACATTTGGGTGACACACCAGCACTCACCAATACCCAACACTTATTCTCAAAAACACACCCCATTCTTGCATGATTTTTGAGGTTGCAGAAGCCATGTGAGAACACTATGCTCTCAAGAGGTCTCCCACAAGAACGGGACGTGCCTTTGGGCAGTTTTTAGAAGCTTTAGAGATCATGGAAGAGCATTCTGTGAAGCTGCTTCAAGAATGAAGGCCTGTATAATGCCGTCCGTTCCTTGGGTCTAGTTTTAAATATAGCATTTAAAATTTTAGTTGTTCCTATATTTATTTTTTTTACTATCTGCAGCCTTGCCAGAGTAGAACACCACCACCTGCTTTGTTTCCAACAAGCAGGAAATGAAAACTATGTAACTCCCTATCTCTATGAGTAAACCAACATTCCATCATAACTTGTAGAGATTGATGGACATATGCAAGATAAATACTTTCTACCCAATGGCATTTCTTTTGTTCTTTGTGTTATTCCCGTCATATTGCAGGGTCCTCGGTGTTCAAATTTTGCAGTTCTGATGGCCCATTTGGCAGTGGAATTAAACTGGTGGTAGCAGGCTGTCGGTATTGGTCTTGGATCGTAAACCAATCTTTGATGGCAGCTTTCTTAGATTTCACTGCTTGTTGGACATCCTTGTTCCCCCACCAGATCTACTTGTCCACAAAACATCACCCTGATTTGGTCACACCTATGGTTCCTTTGCGCTCTCCCGGATTCTTGCAGTGACCTATCCCAGATGACCCTTGCTAAGTACAGCTACAGGAAGAGGTCTAATGATGTCCATCAACTGTTTCATTTCTAGGGAGCTTCCACCACTTGATATGTTCCATGGTGGTGGTGAGTTGGTCTGAAGGGTGGAGTCAAAGTGTAAATTAAAAACGTGGAAGTTTGTGTTGTGGGGCAATACTGTCCAAGGGGATGACCTTAGAGTCCATCACCATCTGGAGGTCCCTTCTCAACACCATCCAATTGTCGATTGGATGCCACCCAATGGTATTTCCTTCCCTGTATTTTCTAATTCACCTTTGAAGAAATGCCATCTTGAAATCCCAAGGTACCTAAAACACCTTCCTATTTTCCCCATAGCAACAACCCTGGGAGGTGAGTTGGGCTGAGAGAGCGTGACTGGCCCAACTGGCTTTCATGCCTAAGGCAGGACTACAAATTCAGTTTCCAGCTTTCTAGCCTAGTGCCTTAACCACTAGACCAAACTGGCTTTCTTTTCTCTGTTTATTGTTGCTATTAAATCTACTTTAATGCCTCAGTTTATTTGCTGCATAATTATTTATGACTCTGGAGGAATTCAGGATCAAATGGTTGATCTCTGGGAATGGATAATATATTTCTAAATTCTGGTACTTAGGATAAATTTCTGCAATAGTTTTCTTATAAATATCCTATTATTTATTTACACAGGTACAATGTATCTTTTGCCTTCAACTCCAATCCATGGTTCTTAGGATAGCCAAACAAAAAATAGCTTTCCTAAACTTTTAACTTTTCTCCCAAAGATAACAGAAAATAATGCATACTTCCTGTTTACCCCAAATTCCAATTCACTATTTTCCCATTATTTCTTGCGTTGAACATTAAGTTGTAGAGGAAGTGCCTGCACTGTCTATGGGGATTCTTAGTCATCCAGGTCATGGTTGTCCCCAAGGTGCTTTTTCCAAAAGGCAACTGGATTTTGTTTTTTCTTTGAAAATGTTTCACTTCTCATCCAAGAAGCTTCTTCAATTTAAAACTGAAGAAGCTTCTTAATTAAGAAGCAAATTGTTTTCAAAGAAAAAACAAGAAGAAAGCCCAATTGCCTTTTGGAAAAAGCACCTTTGAGACAAATGCCTGCATTCTTCTACTAATGATGAGACCATATTAACAAACCTATGCCATGCCACTGTTTTCTTCTTTGCAGCTTCCCATCACTTTCCCCCCCAATCATCCTCTTCTGTATCATACTGAATACTACAGAAACTCAGTTCAGAAGCACTCATCTTGTAAAATCCATGCCAGGGAGTTTTGTCTCTTTGTTCTGTTTCATACACCTATTTTTTCTTGTTTTGCAGCAAGGCCAGTGTAAAATATGCTTGTGTGTCAATGAACATGGCGTGGAAATTGTAAGAGAAAATATTTTAAGCAGCTTTTAGAGGTCCTGGCTTTGGAATTCATTACCAAGTCCAAGCTGCAATCTGCACTGTAAAAAGATTGTTTGCATTTTTATTGGGAAGAAATGGCAAGACTGAATTTCAAAGCATTCTGCTAGATCCTAATAAGCCCTTGCTGAACACCGTGGGAGTTATTATTGAGTTAAGTATGTACAAGTTTCTTTAGGCTACTATTCTAATAAATCGATTTATTAGACTACCACTCCAATAATTATCATTCATATATTTGAGGATAGTACAGTTGAAAGCTTTCAAACCAGGGACAATTAATGCATATTTTTTCCTGTTTCTAGAAAGGACGTCCATTGCATAATGCTTCATTCACAATGAATGATATAGAATTCTTACAAATAATTTATTTTCAAGATTCAGAAAATCAGTAGGTATAAAATGCACATGGGATACCTTATGTGCACATAGAGATTCATTCATATATACAGGCAGCACACTATACATTTCCTAATGTTACAGAGCAAGGAACATTTCGCATGGCAGAGCTTGAATAGAAAAATAAAAGTAGTCTGGAAGATTCTTTCTTCAGGAAACTACAGAAATACTTGCAATCTCTCTCAAAAGCATCTTATGTACCTGAAATCCAAAAAAGCGCTAAGCCTTTCAGAAACCCAGCTGCTCTGACTAAATGGATAATTTGGAGGTATGTTTCAATCAGTTCATAAAAGGGCCACTGAATAGTTTATTCAGCCTTATTATATATACACTATAATGCATCTATTCTTCAAACCAGAGTACAAAATTTATCAGCTGTTCATTAAATTAACTAACTTATATAAGTGAAGCCAATCAAGTTGTGAATTTTCTGTTTGTCTTAAATCCTGTTATGTAAACTTTTCTAGATAATCAGACATCACATATATTGATATTTTTTCCTGTTTGTCTTTTTAACATTTAAACCAGAGAGCCAAGTACAAGATATAGTCACCTTCATCTCACATTTAGTATCAAACAAATGGAATTTAAGATTTTTGAACATTATTCTGGAAAACTCTATTGGCTGCTGCAACTAGAAATGCTAAAATATTATATTTCAAATCCTACTGAAGATGTGGATCCTTGGTACTTTCTGAGTTTGGTTATTTGCCTGAGACATTGTGTTACCCAACTATGTAACATCATCAGTGCCCTGATAATGTTACCTACTTGGGTAATGAAACATCTGCAAACAAACAAGCAGCTCAAACAGCACCAAGGACTCCACTACTGGAACTAATTAAGATGTTTTGATACATTTGGGGCATATCTATAAATGACTATTTTAAAATCAACTACCAGAAATCCAAAAGATTTTTTATTTGACATTTTTAAGTAGATACTTTTTCAAGTTATTATTTAGTTTCACTGATGATATAAGGGGATAAATTCTTGACATTAAAAATAGTCCTTTTAAAAAAGCTTAAGAATAACTTTCCACAATGTCTCCAAATAATGATACAGATTGCAAGTCAGATATCTGTAGTTCTTCTTAAAACTGTTGCATATTAAACGAAACCTATAAACTTTTGGCATGGAAACACTTTACTCCTTCAGCTATTGTACGTTTAAAATCATTGCCATTTTGTAGCATTCAAGTTCGTAAGGAGTCTTCTCTTTAAATTTCACGGATGAAGCAAGCCATAAACTTCATGTTTCCAGCAACTCCACTCAGTATCCTCTTCCTAATATGACAACAAAACAAGAAAAATTAGATTTTCCATATTCAGTCTTAAAAAGATGTAAACTTTTGGCTGTAGCATTGTCTTTTACCTCACAACTATTTGGATTAATGATTTTAATATTCCTTTAGTAAAATTCAGCTGTAACCTTTCCAAAGTATTAAGTTTTTCCCAGAAAAGTGGCAGCCAACAGTCCCCTCACTGAAGGTCCCCTATCCCAGCCTCCACATAAGCTTATCAAATAACACTGTAATTTGATGCATACAGTTATGAGCTTCCCACTATTTTGAAATTAGAATGAGCTAATGCAGCATCTTTTTAGAACAGCGCACTATATAAAAATGAATAGTTTCCTAACCGTGCACTACTCTTAAAAGCTGGATAAGGGAGATATTGCCAGGTCTGAGGAGAACCCAGCATTACTGGGTCTTCTTGAAGTGCCGGATCTGCCCTAACATGCTGGGAGTTTCTGATCCTGGCTTTTCAAATCTTCTGCAAATCAAACCCATTTCTCAACTGTCTTAAGAGGTCCTTTATTTATCACAACATTGTTTTGTAGTATTTTGGAGTGTATTAAGACACATATTCATTCCCAATTAGCCAGACATGCTTAAATACTCATGCAACATATTCTCGTATTTTCTCATTGGTACTGGTGTGTTCACATTTCCCATTTAGGAAACTAATCTTCTATGATTGATAAGGAAGCTCTGATTACTTTGCAAGAAGTACTACATTTTCTTCTGAAGTTTGAAGGTTGCTAATTATCTGAGAAGCAAAAAGTCTAAACATCGCACAGATAATACAGAATATGCCCATAACAAACAGCAAGATAGATAATTATTCTAAAAGTGATTAGTATAAGGTTATGAGTACACTTACCCCTAAATCCTCGGCCACCACCTCTACCTCGTCCTCCTCTGAAGCCTCCACCACCTCCAAAACCTCTACCACCTCCAAAACCTCTACCACCTCCAAAACCTCTACCACCTACAAACAAATAAAAGTAGATGGGTCAAGTGAGACTTGTACAGTATCAAAGTGAGTGAGAATAGCACATAGAAAACAGAAGCCTAAACTAAACAGGTCAACAAATTCATCCGTTAAAGTGTGCAGGGACCATTCATAAGAAATTGTAATAAAATCCTTGCTTAAAAATAATGGAGTTCTTTGTCAGAGATAGCACGAGTCTTTAAAGCATGCAACTGCCTTTTTTTTTCTTTATAAAAGAACTAGGCTGTTCCTAGGATGGGCCAGCTTAGCAGAACTATCCTGCCAGCTATCCAAATAACGTAACTAGGATGACCAACTGGGATTAACAGACAACTTAACCAGGGATTTGTCTTATGTGAAGGCAACTGAAAACAGCACTCTCCTTCCCACTACGGCATTTTACACAACCTATACATGGGGTTTGTTCCTTTTTGCTATGGCTGCTGTATTACTACTATGGAGAATGAGATTTGGGATGCAGTAAATTCAGACTCATCTGTTCAGCCCTGGATAAATTATAGTCTCCTTCTAAATTATTTCACTTTCCTTCACATTTGAAGTTTTGTCTGAATCCAATGAGCAGCCCTAACTGCTTTCAGGACTATAATGTTTGTGATCTTCTAAAAGCAATTTGTCCATTATTGCATATATTTGTTCCCACTGTAAGAAAGAAATCTACCTACCTCCGCCTCGCCCACCTCGCCCTCCTCTTCCACCTCGCCCACCTCTTGGGGCTCCTTTCTCACCAGGAGGCCTTGGCAAAAACCTCTGCAGAGGAAGCAATTTTGCTGGATCGATATAAAACTGAAGGAGGAGATTAGCATTAGACTTTGCCAAACCTTTACTTTTTGCTTAAATGTTACCATTTTCTTGAACCAATATAAAATAATTGCATTTATCAACTGAGATAAACGCAATAAATTAGCCACAAGTAAATCAACCCATAGTACTTTCATGAGCGCTGGACTGCACATCAAGTATGCTTAATCAAAGACAAATTAGATAACACAGTACAATAAACAGGATGCAATTCTTTGGTTTTGCTGGGGGGGGGGAGAATAGATCCACCACTGGGAGGCAAGCAGGAGACTTAAATCATTTCTAACACCCTACCTTTTGCAAAATTCATAACTTTCCTCTTCCTTTTAGAAGGGGATTGTATTTCTTTTAAAAATATTGCTGCAAAATAAGGGCCTGCAATTATAACCCTAATGAAAACCAAAGAAGAGCAAGTACAGATTACTGATCAAAAGTACTCAGATGTTAGCCCCAGGGAATCCAAGAATGACAAAGTGAATCAGAGCAAGCAGCAAAATGCACCACTGAGAATGAGACTGTTTAGTAGTCATAATAGTTATTAATGTAGTAAGTTACTTTTTCTGTGTGCCTCTGGGTATGTTTATGTCTCTGTGTGCCTTTGAATCAGTGCCTGCCACCTGCCTGGACCAATCCATGCAGTTTTCTTAGCAAGATTTTAGAAGTGGCTTGCCATTGCCTCCTTCCTAGGGCTGGGAGAATGACTGGCTCAAGATTACCCAGTTGCTTTGTGCCTAAAATGGGACTACAACTCATGGTCTCTTCAGTTCTAATCTGGTGCCTAATTCAATGCCACAGATCAGACATGTCAAACTCGTGACGTCACGTGATGTTGCGCAACATATCGGGACGGTTTTGCCATTGCCGGCAATGGGGTGGGCGTGGCTCCCGGATGATGCGTCCAGCCCGTTGGCCAGCAGTTTGACACCCCTGCCATAGATATTCAATGAACTAGCAGTTAACAAACCACTACTATTTCATTGTTAAATTTATTTGCCACCCATCTCACCATGGGGTTACTCTAGCCAGCTTACAATAATAAAAAGGGGAAAAATGAAAGGCATATAAACAGAAATAAAATAACAGAACAATAAAATGCACATTGACAAAGGATACATCTTTTTAGAGTTTAGACTCATATTTATGAATATTTAATGGACAGCAAGATTACATATCACAAACGGAACATAAGCAGGACTTACCTTTTGTAGTTTTTTGAAAGATGAAGCTCTCATGTTTTCTGACAGTTTAACTGAAAAGTACTTTCAAAGTGGCTTAAGGAAAACTCTATTAAGATTCCTCACAGATGTCTTTTATCAATTTAAAAGTAAATCCTCAAAGATAATGATGGTCCAATAGATAGAAATCTACAAAAGATCTTCTTAGTCCAGGGGTAGGCAACCTTGGCTCTTTTATGACTCGTGGACTTCAACTCCCAGAATTCCTGAGCCAGCATGGCTCAGCTTGGAAACCTCTCCCTTTCCCCTCAGCACAGCTGGCTCAGGAATTCTAGGAGTTGAAGTCCACAAGTCATAAAAGAGCCAAGGTTGCCTACCCCCGTCTTAGTCCATTCATGACAAGGCACCTCCTTGGACTGATCATTAAAATAAATAATATGAAACAGGAGCAACAAGTGAACAGACAACATGATGCCTTCTAGATAAATTTTAAAAGCTGCATATTTTAAAATCTCCAAACTATAATAGGCATTAGAGTTCAACACGGGGAGATAAACTAGCTGGAATTAGAGCACTCCCTATGTTTTTGCATAAAAATGAAAACACAATAGTACAAACTTAGGGGAGAAGTCCTCCACTTCTCGTGTCCCTCACAGTCCTTAAAGCAAGGGAGAGAGCCTAACTTTCTTCAAGAAGTTCATTAGCCTGCAAGTAATTTCTTATAATTTAAAATGACCAGATGAGGCTGAGATTTTGCATTAGATTCCAAGTGCAGGACAGATTTCTGAGAATTAAATGCATTCAAAAAGGATTTATTTGCCAGTCCCAAAATAAAATGAAAAAAACAACAACCCCATGCTCTATCTCTCTTTCACACACAAACACAACTAGTAATAAAACTGGATATAAGACCAAAGGATTTATTTGCATTGCTAAATAGTTAGATTTTCAAGAAAACATTACAGTTTGTTATATCAAATTCGCAAGATATAGAAAAAAGAAACTCTAGAATCTAAACAGCCAGCAAAATAGTAACTACATACCAATGTACATACCAACTGAAAAGCTGTGTCAATATTAAATACAAAGTGGCAAAGACAACATATATTCCCTTAATTAATGCAAAGGTTCCATATATCACCTTGACTGATCTGGATCAGGTAACTGAGGTCAGTCCAAATTATAGGTTGGCTAGGAGGCAACTAGGAATTCTAATTTCACTGTTATCCAGAAATATAAATGACTATATCCATAAAGTCTGCAGGAATTGAGATCAACCTGAAGAAGACTTACCTTTTTTTTTTTTTTTTT